CCTTCACCACAACACAAGAGGCCCCGACAACCTTTCGGGCCTTTCCTTCAGAATCAATCTTGCACAACTACATTGGCAACAAATTAACACTACAATCAAATACTATTAGACATGTCCTACGCACCAAATGGACAACCGGCTCAAGAAATTCCGTCATCACCATTGTTGTCAAGGTCAAATCCAATTGAAGAGTAAATGTTAATCAACTACTAGGATATTACAAAACCTACTGTTCACCTATACATAGAAACCAAAAGAAGTCAAATTATCTTTAAGATACTATACCATTTGCTTTTTATAAATAGTAGTAACAAGTATCAAAATGATAATTGTAAGTTTAAATGACAAGTGCAGGGCCTTTTTTATAATCAGACCAAACCTCAAGGATATCCTCTATATAAAGTCAAATAATTTTTTTATTTTTTTTTTAAAAAGGAAAAAAGCAATTCAATACACAATTTCCGCCAAAATACCATCACACACCAAAAGATACATTAATTTAACTAAAAAATTGTGAAAAAAATACTTACTCCGGACCATTCACCGAGAGTTTTAGCACTCGGAACAGTTATGAGGTTCACATTGTGGTCGGCGCACAGTGATTTAACCAATTTAACATAGTCAGGCTGGTCACAGTCCTCAGCCAACACACAGAGCTGGGCAACATGCTTCTCGATTACTTTTGCACCCTCATGAAGCCCACGAATAAGACCCCCATGAGCCAATGACTTTTTCAACACAAGTTGCAAGGCAGTCATGATATCCATCGGCTCACCTAGTACGGGAACAGGAGCTGGAGTCTCCACAACAACAGGCTCTTCACTGAAACGCAATGTAAAAAGTTGTTTATGTTGTGTATAGGGTCAATCTTTCTTGAATTTTTTAATTTTTTTCATAAAAAGACTTCATAAGATTTTTATCTCATCTACAAAGTTTCTTTCATTAGCTTCATGAGTCATTTTCCAATATACCAGATCAAACTATTATTTCTCGAACATTCGATTTTCGGGAGAACAGCATTGGTAAACAGACCATGACCCAGAAGTTCAATAAGTATCATTAGAGGAGGTCGAGAATTTCATACCCAGACATTATGCACTGGATATCTGTCCTTAGACTGTAATAAGCTGTCAAAGATCAAACATGAAAGACACCGAATCAGCTTTTAGGACAAGAACAAACAAAGGAGAATGCAATCAAAGTTGATGATGTAGCAATAAACACAGTTAACCCAATTAATTAAATCCAACAATATATCGAGCCCTGTTATAAAAACTGAATCTTGAGAAGATGCCTGTAAACATTCGTCAAATGTAGAATCCAAGCATTTGAACAGCAAATTTACAAACTCATAATTAAGACATAACATCCCAAATTTCAAATCAAAGCATAAACTTTTGTTCTATTTCGATCTCATTAATAAAAGGTTAAAGAGAGAACCTTCGAAACAGAGTTAGAGAGAATGTGCAGCAAATCCTGAGGCGATGTGTTGTTGAAAGAGGCTATGGCAATTTTTATGTATTTCTTTTAAACCCTACCTAGTGCCAGTTATTGGGCTTTGCTAAAAGGCTTGAGGAGTATGGGCTATTGGGCTTTAAGGACGTGTTTTCGATTGTTAGTGGGTTTTGAGTTTATATTAAATTTCTCCTTTTATATTAATTCAAAACGTGTTAAGCTTAGGTGGCACATTATCACGCTTCGGATGTTGACATGGCGAAAATCTATGTCTCGTGATGTTTTTATATTATTTTTGCTCTGGAGTTAGGTTTGATATTAGACATAAATAACTTTATACATATATTCATTAACTCAACACCTATGTTGTACATGAGTATTAATACTAGTAATATTTAAAATGAAATAATTACAATTGATTTGATTTAAAAGTATGAGGGAGATGATGTGAAGTGATGATTAGTTAAAATTATGTGAGTGAATGAATAATGAATTAAAGTTGATGCGACGAGTAATAATGATTGATTAATATTATTTAATTATATTGATAATAGTAGATTTGATTTACAAATTGAGTTAAATTCTGAGTATGGATTGAGTATTAATTGTGTTATTTTATATACAAACTAA